GGAGAAACAAGTTAGCTGCACTACATTTGACTTGACTCTGGTAGTTTTTCCTTTTTATGAAATATATCTGCTTCAGTCTTCCCAAAAGTTATCATTGACCAACAACGACTAAACCGTTAAAAATGACCCAACACCCCAAGTGAAGTCCACCACATTTCTTTATAAATACTTAATATACTAAAGATTATTTATGTTTGAACAACAGTATATGGTTTGATAAGTCGGTATTTTGTTGCTGTACATGTAGTGTTACGAAACACCTTGGATAATTATTTAATGTAGACGTGATGCGATAGAAAAATGACCAACATAGAAGTCTATGTAATTTAGAAGTCAGAATTTTGCCCTTGAATGCACTCTCCTCTGCCTTATTGTTAGCTTGACTGCTCCATGACAGTTTCCCGATTCTTTGAACTGTGATTGCTCTACTGCACGTAAGAAACGGGTTACTCGTTTCAAAAAGCTATGTCAAACTATCTGAACTGTCATTTTAATTAAAACACCTGAACAGCTCTCGTTAGTCACCTGATGGATCAAATACGAGTAAAAGCAGCTGCTCATTCATTGTTTGAGGAAGACAGATGAAGGCCCAGAGCAGTCATCTAAATTATTTTATTTGGCTTGTAGGTGGTGACCTCAGCACTGTCTTACTGCAAAATGACAGAAACTGGAAGCCCAGCACCTCAGCAGGCCAGAAATGGGAGTACTTTGTTAAATCTGCACAATATACTGTATGTCTTAAGTTGGGTTATGAGTTGGACCAAACGTAGTGCAGTAATCTCATCACAAAAAGTGACTTACTGGTACAAATATTTAAAAATAAACATGTAAAACCATAGCCATTTGACTTCAAGTTGTTCTGCTATACTTTAAATTCATATAAACTGTTGAAGATTTATGTTCAGCCAGTGCATGAACGTTTAACTTTTTCCACCTTTTAACCCCTATTGGTGACAAAAAGTAGACTTTGATTTGATTAAGTCAAAAACTATATATCACCAATTAAACAAGTACTTTACGTGTAAATGTGTAAACTACTTTAGGGCTTCTTTTTTTTTAATCTAGAAAAGGGATTAAGCTGGTGTTTTCTGGTGAGGATGGACTGTCTGGTCTTAGTTCAGTTTCACATAATGGAACGACCATGGAGATTCATTCTCTGCCAGTTAGCCTGCTCCAGACCAGGCTAACAGCCAGGTTTAGTTAATCCTAGTCAAGCCCAGTTGTCTTTTTAAAATCCTGGATTATTGAATTCTGCTTTAGTTAAACAGACTTCGAGCTTTTGTTCTTCTTGTCCTTCTCACATTAGATTTGCACCCTCCAACCCCCTCATACTTCCATCCAGCAACCCACATCTACACTCTCACAAATACACACACACACACACTCACACACAATGAATCCATGATGAGGTGAAGCCCTCGTGGCAGAATCATTTTCTGTCACTGGCTCATATTTATAACCCTATCTATCAGTCAGCCTGCGGAGTGTGTGACACTGTTCTCTGACCACCAAACTGCCCCCCAGCCGTACATTAAGACAGGATGGGTGTGTGGAGTTATGCGTGTGTGTCATGGTTGTCATGGTTTATGGGTTTTTGTTATGTCTATGCTTTCGTGTTATCTTCTTGTCCTTATTTCCCTGTTTGTATTTTATGCTCCTGTGTTCAGATGTGACGCTTGTCTTGGTTTTTATGGTTCTTTGCTTCAGTTTTTGTGATTTGCAGCCTCGTTCGGCTTCCAGTGCCTGGAGATTTTCCAGCAGGTTTTGTTCTCTGCTTCCTGCACACCAGGACTCAGTTTCCTAATCCACACACCTGCCTTCTGTTCCTCATTATTTCTTTTAGTTTAGATACTTTTAAGGTTTCCTTATATTTTTGTCAGATCCTTGTCAATGCCAAGAAGAGTTTTAACTTTTTCTTTTTGTTTTAGCCCTCGTCTTGTTTTTCTTAAAAGCGCCTTCAGTTTTTTGTTTTTTTTTTGTCATTGAAGGTTATTTGTTGCTCTTCCTCATCCTTCCTGCCTGTGAGCCGGCATTTGGTCCCGTCCGACACTCCAACCTGACAAACTGGGTCTTCTAAACAGATATTTGCGCTCTTGCTTGAGCCTTCCTTAGCCAAATACAGAGGATTTTGCTCATGACGGCACACACTCAGTGTTCACAAACGCCTGCCCTCCTGTTTAATTTAAGGTCAGAAATAAAGAGGGCTCAAGGGAAGTGAAGAGGAGGACGAAACGCAACCAGCGAGAATGAGATGGAGGGCACGATGAAACAAAACAGAGAACAGCCAAAGAAGAGGAGGATCGTAGAGAAAATGGAGCAGTGGTGAAAGAAACGAAACATGGGGAGATGCTCAGCTGTCTGCTGCTCTCCGATGATGAGAGTAAAGATCTATATCCTTTTCTGTTCAAGGTCATGGTTGTTACATGGGAGCAGAGCCATCGCTCGGCCTCCCTCGCACGCCGGAGCACACGCTCTCTGAGGTATGGCTCTGCCGATAACTACAAGCAGCCATTATAGATTAAAGCAATTAAAGCAGACGAGACCTTTGACCCAGCGTTATTCCACGGTGCACCTTTACACAAAGTGTGCTTGCCTTTGCACTAAAACTGCTCACCCCCATAATGACCTTAAGAAACAATACATCCATTTCCATATACGCCCCTCGAGGCCAAATCAATGAAAAGCTATATTTTCCAAACCACAGTCACATTTTTATGTTGCATTGTCTTTCTCCGCCTTCCTTTTCTTTAATGTAGCTATTTATCATTTTGCGCTGTAAGAATATGCAATCAAGTTATTCATTTGCTCCTGATTAGTGTGCTGCCATCAACATTCAGCTACAGGAAAGAGAATCAGAAGGCTTCTTATTTCCCAGGATTCAGAAAGTAAATGAAGCAATTGAAAGGAAGTACCAAATTACAGGTTTCACAGCACATTTTCCCAGCATCCCAGGATGCACATTAATAAAAAGCTGCAAAATAACAACAAATGGTCAGATAACGTGTTGCTAGATGGCATAAGAAAGGGATGAGAGCAGCCGGACCTGCCAGCATCCACCCTGCCATTACATCAGTGTGCCCTCAGGGTCCAATCAGAGGGTGAGCTGGGCTCCCTCTGCTGGTGCGTTAACACTCCTCCATCACTCCTCCTCTCTTTCTGATTGATAACAAAGACCTTTAAATGTGCGTCCAACACTGCTGTTCTTCACAATATCTGAATTAAATTATTCATCCTAATGAAAGGGTGATTATGAAAATAATTTCCAATCATTCTGCTAAAACACAACTTAAAAGAAAAAAAAAATTGCCAGTCCAACCCCCAGTTTTAAACTTACTTGTAAATGCCACCACTTTTCGTGGCGGGCTCTTTAACAGATGAAAAGATGAACATTTGGACATCTTGACAACATCCACTTTTTTTTTTTTATTCAGCTCTTGCTATCATTTCAGCTTTTTTAAAATAGACTTCTGCTTCCAGACATATTTCCGGAAATGGAAAATACATGCACACACCTACACATAACGGCACACATGCACAGGCTCTCGAGTATAAAGACGTGCAGTAACTTTGGAAGGAACTAGACTAAAAGGTAAAAGCAAACCTCAAAGTGGAAGAAAAAAAAGATCTTTATTGAATTATTGTCCGTCGGGACCACGTGCATGAACACCCCACTAACACCTACTGCAAACACAAGCTCTGCTGTGGGCCTAAAGATGCCTAGACCAATACTCCAAAGGATGAAAGACCAGACAAACACACACACACTGCCCAGTAAAATAACCTCTAACCTATTAGCCACCTCCCAACCCCCCAGGCTCCACATGCAAGCATTCACACACAGCGCAGTGTGTTTATCTAAATCAACAGGAGTTTCCTTTCAGCTTCCAGCTGGTTTCATCACTCACACTCAGTCCAATGAATATTTCAGCAGTGTTTAGGGTCTCCTGCACGTGCACTGTATCGTGCAGTTAAAAACACTTCTCCTCCTCCACTCCGTCTCACCCAACCATCCTTCAGAGCTGTGCTCTGCATGTGCACTCCTGCAGGACGTGACATATATCCAGTGCAATGTATGTACACAGTGGTGATGCTGTGAAGTCAGCCAGAAACAGTGTCCACAGTGAGACGAGACTCGTCTGACGGTTCAGTCAATCCTGAGTTGAAGTTTGCAGATGAATGCATGTGACAGAGAATAGAGTAAGCAAAGGGATGGGAAGTTTTTCTTGAGCTTCAGATCAAGAGTGACTGCAGCTTTCTGAGAATCCTGACAACTCACAAGATGTGTCATCTTCTTTCAGGGTGCCTGACAAACAAGAATCCACTCACTGACTGCCTCACTGACAACTTGGGCTCGTTTTCCAATAGATTGTGCACGGAATTCTCCACTTTTGTCCATTTCCTGCAACTTCAAGCTCTCATTTAACAGCCCAGCGTGCGTGTTTCGAGCCAACAACCAGTCAGGAGTAGTTAGTGAGTAAATGCATTGGCTAATTTCAGGCTGAGCATCGATGTTAATACAATAACCAAGAGGGGCCCAGCAGCAGCGTGTGACAAATTTAATGTAATTGCTGCTCCTCGTTTGCAGAGGCAATAGGCTACAGGGTGCAGAGGAAGAAAAAGCAACATTTATCAGTGCGTAATCATGAAGATACTGATGACTGTGGCAGATTTTTGGCAGAGATAATCATTACAAGTTACTTTGAAGCTGGCAATGCCACAAAGTGAAGTAATGTGGATCCCAGTCCTCCCTATCCGTCTCTCTGTGTGGATACATGATGCAAATTTAATGTCAGCATGCTCAGAGAAGAAAAACGTGACGGACACTTTAACCCCCCTCTCTCTCTCATCCCCGCGTCTCCTCATGCATGATTCATGGCCCAAAGAGGAGCGCTCGGCTCCAGAGGAACCGCGGCGGGATGGGGGGCTCCCCATCCTCCCGAGTCACCCAACTCCTCTCAGAGCTCGCGCACTTCCACCTTCCCCGCTGCCAGCGCACCCACCTTCATTCTCTGGGTAATTCCGCACGGCTGTGCACGCGTGGAAAAGAAGGAGCAGGGAGGAGAGGAGGGGAAGGGACGGATAGATCCACAGGAGCCGCGGTGGTGCCATTTTTCAGGCTGCGCTGCGCCCTCGCTGCATCCCTGTTGGCGGCGTGGAGTCGGTGAGCGCAGCCCTGCGATTGAGGAGGGAAGGAGAGAGCAGAGAGGTGAGGAGAGAGAGGAGAGAGAGCGAGAGAGAGAGAGGAGGGGGAGGCGCTGGGAAGGAGGGTCCACGCACAGTCAGAAAAGTGCTGTCAATCAGTCGCCACGTTCTGGGATACAGAGTGCAGCTGTCAAATACAACATAAATCATCAACTTATCAACTGTTTATCCAAGATTAAGAGCACATTACTGATCCCTGACTATTTCCCAGCACTCCCAAAGCTCCAGAAGCACTGCAGTCATTTTAAAGAAGGGAAAACTGTTTCCACTTCATTAAAGCTTTCTTAGATTATTTTAAAAATCATGCAAATGAATTGAAGTCATTACTAGATTGATATGAGCAAAGTTAGTATAATAAAAAGGTTACTTCAGATCGTTTGAAATGGGGGTTTGTGGAAATGTGAACAGTCAGTATCTTACCTGTTGTAAATAGTTTAGAAAATTACCTCAGTTTGGAGACATGGAGTTCACTTCTGACCAGACTGGAGATCTAATGGTTATTTCAGTTGTTATTGGATCCTCAGGTTTGTGCAAGTGCAAATAGCAGCAGCAGCAGCAGCTAGCTGTAGCTCTTCCAGTGCAGACTGTGTCTGGTTTGTATTAGAGATGGGACCTCTGACATCGTGGCTGTTTCACCTTATTTTAAGCAGGCTTGTTTGAAAATCATCATGTGACCGATATTCTTTGAGGCTTCATATGTCACAAAAACACTAAAACTAAAGTGACTGATTCACACCTTTAGTGTCCATCCTTAGTTTGGAAGTGATGTGACTGCAGTTGATCATTAGATGTTTCTAGCAGGGTCTGTCTTTGAGGCTTTGAAGTTTCAAATCACTTTTTTTTTTTTACCACAGTCAGAAGTAAGTTTTAAATGCTTCACAAATCTTCATCTAGTTTGAGTGGCTGGATTGGACAGGACACAGCTTGGAAATAGTAAAAAATCAGATTGAGTTTAGATTGGCGGGGTTACAAACAGGGTGATCAGCTAGAGACTGGGTGAAACCAGTGAGCTTAGATTGGGATGAGTAAGAACGGGCACATTTAATACATATATCACAAACAGAAGTCAAGAAAAGCCCTAAATACTTTTAAACGCCTTGAAAAAAAAAAAACAAGCATAAAATTCAGAATCTAACCCAAAATGTGCCTGAAGCACTTCCAGCAACATGTTGCTTTATTTAAACAGTCTATGAAGTTAAAATAAAATAAGAAAATAATGATAATAAATAACATTTGCACGAATCACTTGAAAAATTTGAGATGACTGATGTTTTAATTAATTTACTTTCATACTGGCCCTGCCATTAATTTATTTCTATACTACACAGTTATGTGTCCATGAAACCCAATGAATCCAATCAGCTACTTAGATTATGGTACAAGCATGTCTCAGAGACAAAAAAACCTGGATGACCCTAAAATTTCTGCTTTTGAATACTGTCAAGACTGAGGTTTTGGTTTTTGGACCTGAGCATCTTAGGAATAAAATTTGCAGTCTTTCTCCCTCCTTGGATGGCATTAATCTGTCCTCCAGCTCTAATGTTAAAAATCTTGGCGTTATTTTTGATCAGGACATGTCTTTTATCCCCCACATTAAAAACATTAATAGAACTGCCTTCTGCCACCTGCGTAATATCACTAAAATTAGAAACATCTTATTTAAAAATGATGCAGAAAAACTGGTTCATGCATTTGTCACATCTAGACTGGACTATTGCAATGGTTTATTATCTGGGTGTCCAAATACTTCTTTGAAACATATTCAGTTAATCCAAAATGTTTCTGCCAGAGTTTTAACTGGAGTTAGTAGGAGAGATCATATCTCTCCAGTTTTAGCTTCTTTCCGCTGGCTCCATGTCAAGTTCAGAATTTAATTCAAAATCTTACTTCTAACCTACAAAGCTCTCAACAACCTAGCTCCATTTTATATTACAGATCTTGTTGTTCCATATGTTCTTAACAGATCATTTTGCTCTCAAACTGCAGGTTTACTTGCAGTTGTACAGTTTCCAAAAACAGAATGGGAGGGATATCCTGATGCATGCTCAATAATCCAGGTAGAAAAATCTAAAGTTAAGTCTGGTCCTCTGGACATTCAAAACAATTTTTTTTGAATGTCCAGAGGACCAGACTTAACTTTTTTAGAGAATGGGAGGAAGATCTTTCAGCAGGCACCTCTCTTGTGGAACCAACTTTCAATTTCTGTCCGTGAGGCTGACACATTGTCCAGTTTTAAAACTGGGCTCAAGACTTTCCTTTTTGATGAATCAGACACCACTCTGAGCAGCAGGACCACACTTTCCACAGAACAACTGTGTCAACTCTTGAAACTGTGCCTGCAGTCAACCTACTTCACATATGGGGAGCAATATTATAGGCAGAAACATGGGTGTGCTATGGGGTCTCCAGTTTCTCCTATTGTTGCCAACCTGTACATGGAGGAGGTAGAAAAGAGAGCCTTGACGTCCTTTTCAGGGACGCCACCAAGTCATTGGTTCAGGTATGTTGACGACACCTGGGTTAAAATTAAATCTCAGGAAGTCCAACATTTTACTGACCACATCAACTCTGTGGATAAATACATCAAGTTCACACGAGAAGATGAAAAAAATGGCAAGTTGGCTTTCTTGGACTGTGAGGGCTCAGTCTCTGATAGAGGACATTTGCAAACTGAGGTGTACCGCAAACCCACCCACACAGACCAGTATTTGCAGTTTGACTCCCATCACCCTTTGGAGCACAAGTTAGGAGTCATCAGGACTCTGTATCACAGAGCAGACAGCGTCCCCACTAGCTCAGAAGCCAGGCAGAAGGAGAAATCCCACACAAGACAGGCTCTAGAGCAATGTGGATATCCTAACTGGGCCTTCCTGAAAGCAGAGAAGAAACCCAAACAGGACTCCAGTCAGCCATCAGGTGAAAAGGAGGAACCCAGACCCAGACCAGTGGTCATTCCATATGTTGAGGGAGTATCAGAGGAACTGAGATGTTTATTTTCTAAACACAACGTCCCAGTGGCTTTTAAACCCCAAAATACATTACGGCAAAGACTGGTTCATCCCAAAGATCCAGTCCCCCGGCACAAACAGAGCAATGTTGTGTATGCTGTTCAGTGTCAGGAGGGCTGTGATCAGTCTTACATCGGGGAAACTAAACAGCCACTGGCCAAAAGGATGGCCCAGCACAGAAGATCAACATCATCAGGCCAGGACTCTGCGGTCTACACTCATCTCCAGGCCAGCGGTCACTCTTTCAGGGATGAAGATGTTCACATCCTGGACAGAGAGGAACGATGGTTTGAGAGAGGAGTAAAGGAGGCCATCTTTGTGAAAAGAAACCGTCCATCATTAAACAGGGGTGGAGGCCTCCGGGTTCAACTGTCCCCCTCTTACAATGCTGTGATTGCTGGTATCACTCAGCCCTCTGTGAGTAGTAAACAGCCATCAGTGTGCTAATGACCCATTGTTAGGCTGATGGTCCTTCTTGAGCATGTGAGCAGCTGGTTTTGGTTGTCAGCAGCAAACTGGTTGATCCACTCTGAGATGGTGCTATTTAAGAGACTGAGCTGAAAACAGCACCTCAGACTGAGGAAGTCTCTCGGATGAGAGACAAAACGTTTCTACATTTTTTTGCTTTGTTTTTTTTTTTTTTTTTTTGAATGTCCAGAGGACCAGATTTAACTTTTTTAGATATAATAAACTTAGTTTATTAAAATGTTTTTGTTGTTGTTGTATTTTAGCTTCTTTCCTGCTCTGTAAAAAACCCACATTATAGCAAAAATATTAATAAGTCAATCAATAAATAACTCAAATCCAGACAAGCAGCCTTCTTATTTATGATCCAGTGGTTGGGATGTACACCAACATAAACATTTCAATCACACGTTATAAAAAACCTGTCAATTATTTTGATAAGTGACATGCCATGGCAATTATTGTTCAGCTTGCCTTCCTCTTCTCTGTTTCATCCTTGTTGTTGATGCGGTTCTTTTGGATAACCAACATCTGCCGACGATGCTGACACACACATCAGATTTCAATCTGACAACACTTTATGGAGATTTATTCCACCTGTATTCTGTGTGTATGCGGGCTGACCTGTGTGCCTTTTGCGAACGTGGCTGTCCTGAAATATGAAAAAATAATGAGCGGAGCTCATCCTTAGCAATGTGAGGAAAAGCTGAGTGTATGGAAGGTCAAGCTTTTAGTATTTAACCCATCTTTAGCTTTATGGTGAATGCTGTGTCCCCCTGACGGGAGGGGTTGTTTCACCTCTCCCAGATGTTGTGTTTGTGTAAATAAAATATAAAACCCCAATTGCTACAAGGTTGGGACATTATATAGAATGTAATAGGAAAAAAAAAACAGAATACCATTATTTACAAACACCAAATACCCATATTAAATACAAAGGAACATATTCTATGTATGTATAATCTGAGAAATTGTTTTTTGGGGGATAACGGGTAATTTGAATCTTAATGGCTTCAACACTTCTCAGAAAAATGGAACAAACCACTGTGAATCATCTTGTCTTCTTTTACCTGCAGTCTGTAAACATCTAGGAGCTGAAGACCTGTTTTGGTGTTTTGGGAGGAGAATGTTGTTCCATTCTTGTTTGATGTATTTTGGCTGTACACAAATTCTGTGTCTTCTTCAACAGATTTTTATTTTATGAGTCAAATGTTTTCAGTTGTTGAGAGGTCTGGACTGCATGCAGGCAGGTCAGTATGATGTGTGTATATATATATATATATATATATACACACAT